CCCCTCCCCCCCCCCCCCCTTTTCCCATTTTGGAGCACAAGGATGCTGATACACAAGACTGTTGGAGGTGTACTAATTAGCATGCTCCAGCAGACTGATTAATTGAGTCTGCCTCCACCACAGGCAGCCCTTGAATTTAAGAAGCGTTTTCAGGAACCAATTGTGTCATAAGTTGAAACATTGTAACTTGGAACCGATTTTTCCCATAGGATTGGTTTCTGAACCAAGGCCTGAGACCCAATTTTCACGAAAAATAACCCAGAATGTTGTACTCAATCAATTATGGATGAGTAGTATAGCTACATTACTGTACATATATTTAAAATAGCAATAATTGATTTGGAAGGACTTTTTTGAGATGACTTTCCTAGACTTTGTGAAGGGCTCTTCGCTGCAGCTTTTTCTGAAGTCTTATCTGCTTTCTTAAAGTGTCCAAGGAAGTTTGGACAGATGTTCTCCAGGGAGACGGGTGACCCAGCGAACTCATTCACTGGCATGGCGCTGCATCAGATCAAGCGTTGTAAAGTCGAAACTGACATCAGGAAGTCAAAACGGGGTGTCAATTTATAAGGTCCTCAACTCATGATGTTTTAAGTCGAGGGCTGTCTGTACTGTACTTACAGCGCAGGGGATCAGTCTCCCCCATACACCTCAAGCCGCATCCCTGAGCAGTAACAGCACCAACCCCCGTGGGAGTACTGCCGCGAGGGGGACACTTGCGGGGCAGCCCTGTCCTGCTCCCGCCTCCGAGTCCAGAGAGGCAGCTGGGAGCGGGGAACCCCTCACGTGCCTCAGCTAAGAGCTCAAGGCAGCGCCCAGCAGGCGCCGCCCGCGCGAGTCCTGGCCACAGTCCGGCTGCAGAGGGGGCCCCGGAGACTTGTGGGAAGGGCGGGGCGAGAGCCCAGCACTACTCTTCCGCCCCGCCCCATTGGCTGCCCGTCGTCACGTGCTTGGGGAGCCGACTTGCTGCGCTGAGGCGGCTGTGCCAGTTTCCTCAGTCGTAGCCGCGGGGCGGTAGGTGCGTGGGGCGCCCGCAGCTTCGTGTCATGGGGCTGCGCGGCCTGTCCCCGTCCCCGTTCTCTCCCGCAGGCTTCCGCGGAGCCGGGCGGCAGTCGGGGAGGTCGGCGCCCCTCGGGCCCGCGCCGGCGGGGGGTGGTGGGGAGCTGGTTGTGGGGGCCGCTCTCGGTCAGCGTCGTTATGGCACCGCCTGTCGCCAGAGGGGGCGGTGTCAGCTGCCGCCTCGGGGTCTCCTCGCTTGGCCTGAGGGCCGTGCTCTGCGCCCCTGGGGTCCGGGGCGGGCCCTATTCAGCCACGCCACGGGAATCACCCCCTGGAGCCCGCCCCAAAGCGGGCTGTGGTGGGCCTGGCCCCGCCCTGCTACCAGTAAAGATTCAGACGCCCTTTGCACTTTGGCTCCCTAGCTGTAATCTTGGGGTGGGGCTGGGAGTTTAAAGAACATACCTGAGTCCTTTGCCAGCTGTGTTTGTGGGTTGGTAAACAGGCAGCACAGGGAGGAAGCGATTGGTTGCTAAAGGAAATGATGTTTGACTCTGTTATGGTCTGTTAAATGCTGCTGCTCAACAGGCCAGAACTCCCTGTTACAGGTATGGCAAATATCAGGGAAGAAACACGGATTCGCAGGGGCATGAGAAGTCACAGCTACTTAACCTAGAAATGCTTGGTAAAACTGGGAGGTGGTTGTGTTCCTCTTTTTTTCATATCAGCAATTCATTTGGAACTAGTAAGGCCATGTGTGCGAACAAAGACTGCCTGTGTGATCTGGATCCTGAGAAGCAGAACATCTGTGACAAAAGTTAGTTGTATTGGGTGCCTGCACATGTGCAGGGAGCCTGCCCTGATGCTTCGCATGGGAGCAGACTCAGTTAATTGGGACTACTGGAGCAAGGAAATCAACATGCTCCAACAGACTCTGGCATCACTTGTATCAGTGTCCCTGTGCTGAAAAATGGTGATGGGGAGCTTTAAAGCTCATTCAACCAGTTTTAGTTCAAAGTGCCCTGCCACCATTTTTCAGCGCAGGGGTGCTCCAGGGATGTTTTCAGCACACATGATGCTCCAGGGATGTTAATTAGCACAGCTCTCAGAGCTTCACTAATTAAAGCTCCCCCCACACCTCCCAGAGCACATGTATAAATGCCCACATGGTGCCTACACATGAGTGCGGAGGCTGCTCCAATGCACTGGAATTTCAGTGCATTGGAGCACTCGATTAACTGAGTCTGCTGAAGCCTGGCAATTGCTACACTCCAGCAGCCTCCTGTGTTTCCTGTATCAGTGTCCCCATGCTTAAAAATGGTGGCAGTGGCCCTTGAACTAAAGCTCATTGGACAATGATAGATCATTTTTAAGTGTGGGGATGCTGATACAGGCAGCTCTTAGGAAATCAAAATCTAGTAATTTATGACTTGATCCATGTATTTGCTTTAATCCTGATGTCAAATTAAGTGTTGCTTGGATTAAGTAAGATTTAGTGATGCTTTTGAACTGCTGCTTGTATCTGGCAACTTTGGACTTTACACGCACAAATCTCTGTGTTCTTGGCCACTAATTCTAACCAAATGGAATAATGGGATAAACTGATACCATTGAAAAGAGATATGAATGATTTATTTTCTTTAAGTGAAAATAACAGATATTTAGACAAACGGGGAGATTAATTTGCTGTGGGAATAAGTTATATACTTGATGCTAAACCAACATTTTTATTTACTTATTTATGTAATTACGCTTGTGGATATTTGTTTTAGTGATACAAGATGCACCTTCCTTTGGTACTGTGCACAGCTCTGCTGATAGGAAGTGGCAGTGCTCAGGATGACGATTGGATTGACCCCACAGATATGCTCAATTATGATGCAGCTTCAGTGAGCATGCGAAGACCTAACAAGGCAAGTGCAAAAAAGGCAAAAATTGTGTGTGCGTGTAAAACAATAAACTTGTTGAAAGAATAAAGCTAGGAAATGAAAAGTTAGAGTTTTCTCTAGAATCGTAACTTTTCCTCTTTGTATGAAATTTCATCTTCATACAGTCTTCAATTACATGTTCATATTCTATTTTTACCCTGGACCCCCACCTCATTCTAAGCCCAAAATGGACCTTTCCTGTGGTTGAATCAGGGCTGTATGGTATAAAAACCTATTTTGCGCTGGATCTTTCCTTTTATTATTTTGCAGAAGGTGGAAGTCATAGAGTGAATGTGAGGCATGGTCTCATGGTTAAGGAAGTTGAATTGTATCCTGGAGAGCTGTGTTCTAAGCCTGTCTCTCCCAGAGCATCCCTAGGTGATATAGACCTGCGGTGGCCAACCTGTGGCATTTGTGCCCTAAAGTGACATGGGCAGCCTCTGTGTGTATGATTTGGGGAGGAGACAGCACAGTGTCACATACAGCGTGGAGCAGAAAGCAATGCATCGGATCTAGCAGGGAGTACAGGGGAATGAGCAGAAAGCAGAGTAGTGTATTGGGCTGGGAAAAGGCATCAGAGTAGCACTCAGGGAGAGTGCAGAACTAATGTATGATGCACCTTCCAAAAAGGTTGGCCCCCTCTGATGCAGGAAGTCAACCATTTTTTCCATTGTTTATAGGTTCTTCGCAAGGACCATGAGCTCTAATTTTTTTCAGAAGCACTGAGCCCTTGCTGTAACTGAAATTAGTGGGAGTTTTAAATATTTGAAGTTCCATGTAATGCATATAATTTCTGTGTTGGCAGAAACTTCCTATTACGATGCTTATAAAGATGAAAATATGCTTGTAATAAATTAATATTTGTATTTAATTAACAAGGCTGTTGGTTCTGAATATGCATCTTGAAGGACATTTTATAAGAAGCATTGGCATCTATGTCAAACACTGCAAAATCTCAGCCCACATATACTTTAAAGTCAGTGGGCATTGACTATACACTTCAGAGGGTATTGGAATGTATCGCAGAGGATTCACCAGGGAACCCTGCCCTTTGGTATATCTATTCTGCTCTGATGTGAGATCTTAGGTTATATGCTAAGAGCACTTGGAAAGGCTGGATGGGTACAAGTCAGCTGGCCCGGATGACCTCCATCCACGGGTGCTGAAGGAACTGGCCAGTGTCGTAGCTGAGCCACCAGCATGGCTGTTTGAGCCAGGTCCTTGAGAACTGGAAAAGGGCCAACGTGGTGCCCATTTTTAAGAAGGGGAGAAGGGATGAGCCAGGTAACTTTAGGCCAGTCAGTCTTACCTCTATCCCTGGGAAAATACTGGAAAATATCATCAAAGAGCCCATTTGTGAAGGCCCAGCAGGGGAAATGATGCTGAAAGGAAACCACCACGGGTTCATCACAGGTAGATCCTGCCTGACAAACCTTATAGCCTTTTATGACCAGGTCACACACTGCCTTGACACAGGACCTGAGGCTGATGTCATCTGCTGGATTTTAGGAAGGCCTTCAACAGTTTTGTATCCTATTCTTATAGGGAAGCTAACGGGCTGTGGAGTGGACACCTATACAGTCAGGTGGGTGGCTAACTGGCTTAGGGACCACACCCAGAGAGTGGTGGTGGACGGGTTGTCCTCGGCCTGGAAGGAGGTGGGCAGTGGGGTCCCGCAGGGTTTAGTCCTTGGACCGATGTTATTTAATATCTTCATCAGTGATTTGGATGAGAGTGTGGAGAGCACCCTCTCCAAGTTTGCAGATGATACCAAGTTATGGGGCAAAGTTAATACACCGGAGGGCAGGGAGCAGATACAGGCCGACCTGGACAGGATGGATCAATGGGCGGAACAAAATAGGTTGCAATTCAACAAAGATAAATATAAGGTACTCCACCTAGGAAGGAGGAATCCCCAGCACACCTACAGGTTGGGGGATGACCTCCTCAGCAGCTCAGAGGCTGAGAGAGATCTTGAAGTCATAGTTGACTCCAAGATGAGCATGATCCGGCAGTCTGAGGCCATCAGCAAATTCAGTTGTACTTTGTCGTGTATTAGCAGATGCATGACCAACAGATCAAGGGAGGTGATGCTCCACCTCTATGCGGCATTGGTCAGGCCACAGTTGGAGTACTGTGTCGAGTTTTGGGCACTGCACTTCAAGAGGGACATGGAGAATCTGGAGAGGGTTCAGAGGAGGGTCACTCGCATGATTAATGGCCTCCGTGAAAGACCTTAGGAGGGGAGGTTGAGAGATCTGGATCTCTTCAGCCTTTACAAAAGAAGGCTGAGGGGTAACCTTGTAGCCGCCTATAAGTTTATCAGGAGAGGACAGCAGGGAATTGGTGATGTGCTGTTTACCAGAGCGCCTCAGGGAGTAACTAGGAATAATGGATGCAAACTAGTGGAGAGTAGATTTAGGTTTGACATTCGGAAGAAATTTTTTACAGTAAGGGAGGCCAGAGTCTGGAGTGGTCTTCCAAGAGAGGTGATACTATCACTTAACTTGGAGGTCTTCAAGAGGAGGCTTGACAGTCACCTGGCTGGGGTTGTCTAACCTCAGACCTCTTTCCTGCCAGGGGCAGGGGGTCAGACACGATGATCCACTGGGTCCCTTCCGACTGTATAATCTATGAATGCTTCTGCAAAGCCTGCAGCATGAAACTTCATTCCGAATAGTATTCGTATGAGACTACTGATTCTTGTAGATTTGTACCTGCTTGTTCCATGGCTGCATTTGGCTCGGACCCCTTCTACCTGCTTGGGGAAAGGTGCAGTGGGATCTAACGCATGATCCACAGTCTCAGCTCCTGTCATGCACGTGGCGGATTGCCATTGTGCCCTATCATCAGTGCAGGAGGAGCCTGCTCCTGCAGCTGAGAAGGCTTGCAGCAGGGGCTGCAGGCGTTGCAGTGGGGGCAGTGCCAGGAATGCTGGCTCCACTGTAAATGTTGTCAGCTGTGGAGCTTGCAGCAGGGACTGTTGGAGAATGCTGCCACCGCTGCAAGCCTTGTGAGGTGTGGGGCTTGAAGTGGCAGCATTTTTCCACACATTTCCCCCATGCGAGCGCTGCAACCTATGTGGGCTGTGGGGCTTGCAGCAGGAGCAGTGCAGGGAAATGCTGCAGCTGCTGAAAACCTGGCACCTCACTTGGCTTGCAGCAGGGGCAGTGTTTTCCCTGCTGTGAACCCTGCAGCTGTTTTGGCTATGGGACCTGCAGCGTGGGGGAACGCTGCTGCTTCTGTGAGCCCTGCACCCCAGGACACTTGGAGTAACGTTCTTTCCACTGAGCCCCACAGGTGAAGCCCCAGCCCCAGCTACAAGCCTTGTCAGCTGCAGGGCTGGCAGCAGATGATTCACCCTTGTGTCTGGGAGCCCCTCAAGTGATGGGGCTCCCAGCCACAGAGGAGCACTTGGCCAGATGTTAAATTAATGGCATGATTAGAACAAGCTACAAAGTTATGACACATCTTTTGTGGAATAACATAGCTTATTGGTTGTTTTATCACACCGTTAATTGCTTGAATATGTAGCTGGGTCACGGCTTACGGCGCAATTACCTAGTTCAGTGGTTCCCAACCTTTTTTGCTGCAGCCCACTGCTGGGAGCGGTGTACAGCAGTGTTGGGGCTGGGAGAGCTCCCGGCGCACGGTGCAACTCGTCCTTTGTGGGCAGCGCCACCAGCATTGCCCCTGCGACCCTCATTTGGGAACTGCTGACGTAGTTGATCATGCTTTGAGTTTGTTGTGTAGTAGGGCTTCAGTGCATGTTAGTTGTTTGGCAGGGGGTTTGAGGAACCTTTTTAGTGCATATACCTGTTTGCGTATAAAAACAAAGGAGATGGTGCAAAAAGAGCTCCAATGAAGGAATCTATACAATTAATAAGTGATACTTAAGGAACGGATGTGAGAGACTATAGAGACAGCATGAAACAGGTTTGAGGTGGAGAGAGAGGAAGCAAAGGGAGCAGTAGAGAGAGCATAGGAAGGAACACTGAAAGACTGAATCGAATGAACGTTATAATAAGAACATTGTTCAGTTGCTTTAGCTCTTTTAGCATTTCTGTGTTTCACATCCCATTGCCTATCCAATACATTGGTGAATGAAAGGGCAGCATTATTTTACATTAACTAAAACTTCTCTGTAACTAGATTATAAAGGAACGCATAATTCTTTTTAACAACAGGTAAATGATGATGAGTCTGAGACCGAGAAGACAGTGAATGCTGATGAGAGCACTGCAAGCCAAGAGGACTCGCAGGGTTGTCAGAGAACAGTGGAATCCCTAATGCAGCAGGTTTGTTTTGAGTTTCAAAGTGTTTTTTTTTTTTTATCTTTTTGCATTTTTGGATGCTTCCTCCAAAAATTTCCTGTGGTATCCCATGATCACCTCTTAGCAAAACTGGCTAACTGTGGCCTCGGCCTTACCACAATCCACTGGCTGGGAAATTGGCTCCGTGGTAGGACCCAGAGGTGGTGGTTCACAGAAGTCAATCGTTGTGGTGCCCTGTGACCAGTGGGGTCCCTCAAGGCTCTGTCCTTGGGTATACGCTATTCAACATCTTCATTAATTATGTGGACATGGGTATCAGAAGCGGACTGGCCAAGTTTGCTGACGACACCAAACTCTGGGGTAAAACGCCCACACCTGAGGACAGGAGGGTGATCTAGGCTGACCTTGACAGGCTCAAGAAATGGGCAGATGAGAACCTGATGGTGTTTAACACTGAAAAATGCAAGGTTCTCCACCTTGGGAAGAAAAACCTGCAGCATCCTTATAGGCTTGGCAGTGCTATGCTCGCTAGCACTATGGGTGAAAGGGACTTGGGGGTCATGATTGACCACAAGATGAACATGAGCCTTTAATGTGATGCTACAGCTAGTAAAGCGAGCAAAACGCTGGCTTGCATCCATAGATGCTTCTCAAGCAAATCCCAGGACATCGTTTTCCTGTTGTACTCAGCCTTGGTGAGGCCGTAGCTGGAGTAGTGTTCAGTTTTGGGCTCCACAATTCAAAAAGGATGTGGAGAAGCTTGAGAGAGTGCAGAGGAGAGCCACACACATGATCAAGGGTCAGGAAAACAGACTTTATGATGAGAGGCTTAGAGCCATGGGACTCTTCAGCCTGGAAAAGCGCAGGCTCAGGGGTGATCTGGTGGCCGCCTGTAAGTTTATCAGGGGTGTTCACCAGGACCTGGGGGAACGTCTGTTCATCAGAGCGCCCCAAGGGATGACAAGGTCGAACGGTCACCAACTCCTCCATGACCGCTTCAGGCTGGACATAAGGAAGAACTTTACTGTCTGAGCCCCCAAGGTTTGGAATAGACTGCTGCCAGAGGTGGTTCAAGCACCTACTTTGAATACCTTCAAGAGACATTTGGATATTTATCTTGCTGGGATCCTATGATCCCTGCTGACTTCCTGTCCCTGGGGTAGGGGGCTGGACTCGATCTTCTGAGGTCTCTTCCAGCCCTAAAGTCTATGAAATCCATGAAATCTATGAAATCCTCCATAATATCAGCAAAGATGGGTCAGACCAGGTAGATTAGTAGGTTATTAGTTAGTTTTGAGGCTTAGATAATGAAATAAAGCATTTTTTGTGAAGAAGTACTTACTGTTTTGGTCTCTTAATTTGATTTATGATCTGTGGATTGCCATGTATTGTCAGGGGGTAACTTTCTGTCTCATTTTAAAAAGATGATGAGAAGAAATTTGTGTACAATATAAACAAAGTATGTTTATTTAAAGATTATTGCACATACAACAGAATGTGAAATGATTGCATAAATATTTAAACTTTAATGGAAGAACAGATTTTTGACGAATTAAATGTTTCCTTTCAGTATTAGCAATCAAAACCTGTTATTATGCAAGTACTTGAGAATCAGGTAGTTAAACTCACTTGTCTCTATTCCGTCATCCAAATTACGGTTAGTACACGAAAATGTGTTTGGAGCAGGGCCACAACACGTAGCGTTGTAGAGATCCAAGTACCTTATAATTGTTCTGTCAAAGGGCTTGTCTGGGTTGCAAGCTTTCTGCCAGTAGATAGCAGTTGCCTCTGACTGCCGCATGTGCCATTTGTGTTGGCATGGTGCACAGCAGATGCTGGGAGGCATTGGTAGTTAAAGGGGTGCTGGTAATCAGCATAAAGTGCAGGGGGTGCTAAAAGCAGCTTTGGTTGTTGGCAACAGAAGCTTTCTCTCTCTCACCAGTCTGGGGTTACACTGCTGGCAAAACAGCCTAAGTAATGTTGGAGACCTGTCTTGGTTTGTCTAGACTGTGGCTGTGATGCGCTACTGCTGAGCATATGTTATCCCCCTGCTGCTCTCCAAACATGGAAGTACAGCAGTCAGGCTGCTCTAGGTTTGTCCCCAGTGGCTCCATTCAAATATGCTGGAAGCTGACTTCATATACACTTCAAGGGGACCCCCTCAGCCTCTTTATAGGCATACATTCAGGTTTGAAGCATGCCTGCAGGTGCCACTGCATGGAGATATTTCAATAGCAGTGCCTTGCTGCTACAGTGAAGACATGCCCTCTGTCTCTGGAAGAGCCTAGAATTGGGAAGTTTAGGTCCCTCACCTCTACAGAGAGAGACCTCTATGTCTTTACAGTATAGTACCTCTTGGATAACCAGCTCACTGTCTGTCTCTATCTGTCTCTGTCTCTCTCTCTCTCTATTTTGTGCTCCCGCTTGCTGCCACTTGCCCCCTGTCTGCCACTGCTGCCCTTCTCCTGCTGCCGTGAACCCCCTGAGGCCCTGATCCCCGCTGCTGCAGCCAACGAGTGCGGGATTTTCTTTTTCTTTTTTTCAAGTGTCAGGCATCTGGGGCTGGGTGGAGGATGGGGCCAGGCAGGGCAGCCATGGGGGCTTCTCCCACGGCTCCCCCTGCCCGGGGAGAGG